ATTATTGTGTAGTGCCTTAATGGTTAAAATAATCTAACACACAATATAAAGAATTATTTATTATTAATAATAATAATAATAAAATAATAACTATTACTTCGCTGTTTGCTTGTAAGCATAAACTTGTATGAAAATGTCACCCTAGTCTCTCATTTCTCCCTTTTAACTTCCAATAGAAAAGAGAAAACACAGGCAAACGCTACGAAGGAGTTGCTCTTCTAAAAGTAAAGACAGAAAAGCTGCATTGTCAATAGTGTGGATATTACAGCAGTTTGCTTCGTACATTCAGTTTCACAGCATTCAATTCAAGAGGCTAAACTTTATCATTCAAATGAACTGTGCGTGTACATTTTACGTTGTTCTTTTTTGCTCCATCAATGCAACACATGGTCATCCTTTAATGAGCCAGGTTTAACGTGCTTACCTTCTCAGGTTATGCCAACAACCCATTGCAGGTGCGGCCAAAGATTATTAGCCTTACAGCAAGCCTTATCTGGAGGCTCCAGAGTAGAGGAAAAGATCTGAGACAGGACACTCCTGTGAGAGAGACTCTTAACGGGTTAAAGAAAGAAAGAAATCAAACTCACAAGACACCGATGGACAACAGTCGCTGTATATGAGTATATTGTAACTGTTTGATCTAATGTAATTCTAGTGACAGTTCAGTAGTCACTGGATATTGGTAGGGACACGTCCATAGTGTCTAGAACTTGGGACAGGTGTGGTGACATAAGTAACATCTGTATGAACTTGCAGAAGATCTGCACATCATCTCAATTGCATCAGATTTTTCTTTTTTTCCCCAAAATTCTTCATAAAATGAATGACATCAGCATGTTCCGTTTCAGTACAATGGAAATTAACAGGGCCAAAAATATCCAGTTACAGTATAGCCACAATATGTAAACTATATCTGATAATTATTATTAATAATAATAATAATAAAATAACTATTACTTCGCTGTTTGCTTGTAAGCATAAACTTATATGAAAATGTCACCCTAGTCTCTCATTTCTCCCTTTTAACTTCCAATAGAAAAGAACAAACACAGGCAAACGCTACGAAGGAGTTGCTCTTCTAAAAGTAAAGACAGAAAAGCTGCATGACCGGTGTTGTCAATAGTGTGGATATTACAGCAGTTTGCTTCGTACATTCAGTTTCACAGCATTCAATTCAAGAGGCTAAACTTTATCATTCAAATGAACTGTGCGTGTACGTTACGTTGGTCTTTTTTGCTCCATCAATGCAACACATGGTCATCCTTTAATGAGCCAGGTTTAACGTGCTTACCTTCTCAGGTTATGCCAACAACCCATTGCAGGTGCGGCCAAAGATTATTAGCCTTACAGCAAGCCTTATCTGGAGGCTCGAGAGTAGAGGAAAAGATCTGAGACAGGACACTCCTGTGAGAGAGACTCTTAACGGGTTAAAGAAAGAAAGAAATCAAACTCACAAGACACCGATGGACAACAGTCGCTGTATATGAGTATATTGTAACTGTTTGATCTAATGTAATTCTAGTGACAGTTCAGTAGTCACTGGATATTGGTAGGGACACGTCCATAGTGTCTAGAACTTGGGACAGGTGTGGTGACATAAGTAACATCTGTATGAACTTGCAGAAGATCTGCACATCATCTCAATTGCATCAGATTTTTCTTTTTTTCCCCAAAATTCTTCATAAAATGAATGACATCAGCATGTTCCGTTTCAGTACAATGGAAATTAACAGGGCCAAAAATATCCAGTTACAGTATAGCCACAATATGTAAACTATATCTGATAACATGTTTTTAATGTGGGGGGGGGACCACTTTGCAATTTTGTTGCCATGAGAAACCCTAAAGAGACTGTAAGATTTGGTTGAAATAGTTGTACAGCTCAAACGCACAAGTAATTGTATAAAAGCTTCACATTATTGCTTTTCAAATGCTCTTTCAAAAGTACTTCATTGTAAACTCCAAGCATGAGTATAAATTATGTTTATGGTAATTAACATGTAGCTTGATATGAGCTTGTATAATATTCCTTTAAGCAAACATCTGTTATTTCAATTATTACAAGAAACTATATTATGACCATATGGATAATACAATTCAAATAGAATTTATCTGAATCGATTTTCAATTTTGAAAAAAATTTTACATTAAAAAAGTAATATATCACACACAATAAAGTCAAACCATTTGATTGTGAATGTTCAAAGGCAATGAAATATATATGATATATATTGACAAAAATATACATTTCCCCCACCCATTTATTAAATTATGCCCGGAAACAATATTCTTCTTGTGTTTTCAACTACATGGTTTGACACTTTGGGAGAAGCATGAGTGTTTCTATGTTCACATAAAGGCTTGATCCCAATAACAAGTGCTGTTGTTTTATAGTCACTCCTCAGACTGCATGCCCATCTGTTTCAGCATCTTCTGCTCCCTCCGGTTTCTCATGCGCTCCTTGAAATCCTCCAGTTCTCGCCTCTGTTTCAGAATGAGAAACGCCACATGAAAAGCAGAATGTCATTGCAGCTCACTTGTATAATCTATGCATATTTTTAAGTACATTTGCAGCATTCCTGTGGGATGTTGCTGCTGAATAGTAAAATATCTACCTAAAGATCTGTTTAACCTAACCTAATAACCACTGCAACCACCCAAGCAAAAGCAGTTTGATTACAAGAGTGCATCAAATGAAAGAGAAAATACTTACATGCATTTTCTCATCAGGTGGGAAGATCTCCCTCTGAAAAATGTAATAATATAATCTGATCATATAACAGCAAGTGCATATATAGAATTGCTAAATATATAATACTACAATATTAAAAGGGACTTCTCAGTGCGATTATGAACCTTTCGCTTCACGATGTATTCCTCAAAATACTCCGCTTGGTTTGATATCCAAAACATCGCCACTGGAAACGACAGATACACCATCATCTGTTTCAAATGATAAACATCCCAAATCTGTTGATATTCACATCTGATCGGTTATTCACATACGTGCAGTGGTGAGCAAAGTGGGACGTTTACAGCTTCTGTGCGTCTTTTTAAACCCCCCCAAAGATGGTTTAGTCTTAGTCTATTCATATATAGTTTATTTAGACAGACCGACCTGCTTACAAGTGTAAATGTCATCAAACTCACCCTAAACACCTCTATTTGAACCCCCATGTCCTAGAGTTTGACAGGCACGCATTCAGGAACTTCCTGGTTTGTGAGATGTCAAAATAAAAGTCGCGCTGAACACGCACAGTAACTGCCTTATTTTCATGCGCAATGAAAATACTTCTCTGGGCATGTGTGTGTGTGTGTGTGTATTTATTTATTTTTTTACAAACATGTAATTGAATTGACTAAAAAACTCGAGATGTGTAATTCAAACTTGATTCTTGTAACAAACCATCTTCCAGCACTCTTTCCTCTTACGTAAGCCAGCTGCAGGCTTATGAAAGCGCGTGCAATCGCTGACCGGATGCAGGTGCAGCAATATGATGCAAGCATGCAGTAACTTTACATCAGATACAATCGTTGCTCCTTCAACCTGCAATATATATATATATATTTTTGCTTACCCACGTCTAATGAAATTTGAAAGAAATTCACGTAAAATAAAATGAACTTCCTCAAAATGACTCCTGTTTCAGTCATTTACGCCACTTTTATGGAAAAGGCGCATTGAAAGTGAATATTGACTGAGGCTGCGAGTCCATAATATTGTGCTATATTCTCCTTTTGAAAAGGTAGAGGTGAGAAAATGACCATTTTCAATTTTTTGGGTGAATCTCACAGAAACGGTCAAGAAATGTCCTGGACACATTTCACCCCAGAATCAAAGAGGGGAAAATCCAATTGCTTTATAGAAATCTTAAATTGGCATTTTCTTCACACAAAATTTGTTTTTGGGGTGAAACATGTTCCTACATGTACTTGAGATTCACCGTTATCCCTGGAGTTATCAAGCAGTACGACCCTTAATATAACTGCACAAGTTTCATATATTAAGGCACCAGTTTCTTTGCACCACTTCAACCTCAACTCTCTGAGGAGTGAAGACTGATATGCAACAACACAATGGACAACACAGCAGGTGGACTGTGCATAGAGCTGTTCAATTATAAAAGTGATGACAGGCTAATTTTTGTTTAATTTTAATTTTCTATAAAAGAGATGAGTTTATTTCATGATCATAACAGATTGAACCATTGACCTCGATAGCCAACACACATACCAAACAGTAATCGAGGAAAATGTTAAACAACCCCCCCCAAAAGAAAATAACAAAATACCTGAATAAAGCAAACTCTCTGCTGAGCTGGTCAGCACATTCTCTGGAGAATCCGAATCTATGGCACATAATGTCCAACTGTTACCATGGAAAAGAAAATACATGTAAAGGCTTGAAGGAATGAAGTGTTTCTCTTTTTTGAACTTTTACAGACCAAATTATCAAAAGAAAAAAATAGATATTTATATAAATGAACTTCATGAGGAAGAACAAGAACCAAAAAAAGTTCACAAAGCATGAAGTGTTGTTGCGATTGAAACCTCCGGGTAAGAACACCCTCCCCAGCCACATACCGACAACCGTACTGACATGACGTACACATCCAAACATCCTGACACACACACATGTACGTTGATGAAGATGATGATCGGACATGTCCTCTTAGCAGTTTCAAGAAAACGAAAAACTAAGTTGTTCGGTGTATAATTAAGAGGTCAAGCTAAAACTAGATTTAAACCTGAATATTGTAAATGGGTAAAATATAAAATGTTTACTTTCCTTTTTTTGTCTCTTAAACACAAGCTCTCGCCCCTAAACCCCCAATTTTCCCCTCCCTCGCCCTCCCAGAACATAATATATGCCAACTAGAATCGCAATACAATACAGGCACTGGAGAAAACACTATAAGAGAAAACTCAGAGGACCTGCCAAGGTCTTGAACTGTGCCCCCCGCCCCCTTTGCCGAGTCAAATAACAGAATTAGAACACATCCACTATAATCGAACAAGAACAATGATAAATCAGAACGGTTTGATTTTTTTTGTAGCTTTTTTTCCTTTCGAATTTTTTGTAATTATATCTAGCACAGCATACGGAGTTCTCTCTGTGCAGGTGTAATAAAATGATCTGTGAAAAGAAAAGAGGAGTCATGCAGAAACCAGCTGAGAGCTCCGTCGCGTTGGCCTGGTGTTCGCATGACGCTCTCAAACGCGTGTACCAGTTGCGTGTTCTTCTTCTATATGTATAATACACTTAAAATAGTTATCATATTCTTTAAATTATATTCAAACTAAAGGATACTCAGAAACCGCCCTTACAGGTCAACGCTCCGGCCCGTGGTGAGATTCCTCACCGGGTTTACATGAAAACGATGAGCAATGAAAGTATATCTCCATGATTCTGTCCTCAATTAACACTTGTCAGAATAATGCATATATTAGGGTTTATTTTCTACAAGGCTACCTAAATTTTTAATGACGAGTGGGGAGAACAAGAAAATATATTTATATATTTAGAAAGACATGTTAAGAGTGAAGCGTTTCGGGTCTCAGCTATCAGCATAAAAGGATATGGGTGTTTGGCATAGACATCAGAGGGTAAGGTGTTGGTAAGAGAGTTAAAAATATCTAAAAAAAAAAAAAAAAAAAAAAAGGAAAGAAAAACAACAACGAAAAAAAGAAACAAAAATACAACCAACCAATCAACCAAAACAGTAATTAAGAAAATACTTTTTTACAGTAGATCCTACATAATGAAAAATCTGCACATGATAACAGTGTGAACCACACCATGTTTAGTCATTTGTCACAGCCCCTGGTGAATATTGTTTGAGTTGTCGTGGTTACGAGGTGTAAGGCGAGCTGTACTTCCTCTCCCGAGGAAGATCATAAGTGCCCCCGATCCCATCCTGCCATTTGCCTCACGAAAAAGGGGTGGAAAGGATATAGCGAAAACGAAACGATGGGAGGGAAACCAAATCAAACAGGAAACAAAGACGTTTTCTAATCCCCCACAGACATCTGGCAGTCGATGGATGCCGTAGTACAGAGAATCAGTACATTTCATTGTTGTCGTTCAGATATTCCTCCGGCGATCACATTGTCCATTGCTCCCATATTCTGAATTAAGAGTCACACAAGTCCTTTCTTTCCCGCCATGGTCACAATGGCAAATCCAGGAGGAATGCCGGAGAGGCAGTGCCGTCCCAGTGTAAGGGTCCCTCTTTCTGCCAAGGCTAAAGGAGAGCTACAGCCTCCCTCTCAGGGCCTCAGCTTATGCATCGCTAGTTCAGCCTCTTCAGTGTTTCCTGTGGTCAGATGGGCTCTTTTTCCCCTTACTGCTTTGAGTTCATTCTGTCCGTGTAGAGGAATCCATGAGCAGTTTCGCAGTTTCTCACTTTCTCTCGCGCTTCAGAACAAGTTCTCCTCAAAGATAGCCATCAAATCGCTTTGGAAATTCATGTCAATTGTAGCTGCCATCTGTAGAGGTGAAGAAAACAAAAAGTGAATATTTCTGAATTAACAACACTGATAAGGAGATCTCCAATTAAATGCACGTGTTTATGGAAAAGTGATTAAAGAACAATTGGTACCAACTTTAGTACAAGGTACTGGTCAAAAGTTTGGGGTCAGCAAGACAAAAAAAAACAAAAAAACAAATCAAATCTTTTTATTCTGAAAGGATGCATTAAATTGATCAAAGTGACAGTGAAGACATTTATAATGTTACAACAGATTTTTACTTAAATATTGTTCTTTTGAACTTTCTATTAAAGAAATCTGCATCAGTTCCACAAAAATATTAAACTGATGTGAATATCTGAAATGTTTCTTGAGTTGCAAATCAACGTATTAGAATGATTTCTGAAGGACCATGTGACACTAAAGAATGGGGTAATTCAGCTTTGCATCACAGGAATAAATTACATTTGAAATATATTAAAATAAAAAAAGTTGAAATTGTAATCATATTTAATATTATTACTGTTTTTGAGCAAATAAATGCAGCCTTGGTGGGCATAAGAGACCTTTAAAAAAAATTGTACCAACCCAAAACTTTTGACAGCTAATGTGTCATAAGTGAGGTGACTGCAGCTGTAACTCACCGCCTCTCTCCTCCTCCTCTCCTGTTCCCGGCGACGTGCAAGCTCCCTCTGCTGATCAAGTGCACTCTGGGAAGCGGCGGGGGACTGGGGTGGGCCTTGGGAAGGCTGTGGGGCCGAGGGCGGTTGGGCCGGGTTCTGGGCTTGCGGCTGATTTTGGTGCTGCTGCTGTGGCGGCTGGACCTGCTGTTGCTCTGGCCGCCTGCGGGGCTCCTCCTGAGGCCTTCGAGGCGTCTCAATGGAGTCCTCCTCATCTCGTCCCCTTAAGACAGAAAGAAAATGTCTTGAAACTGCTAAACAGTCCTTTCATTAAAAAGAGTTTCTGAACAGCTCTCTTACCGAAGTTTCTCTTGTTCTCTGCGCAGACGGTCTTTCTCAGCTTGCTCGGCCTGGGCCTTCAGGGCTTTCTCTCGCTCTTCCTTCTCTCTGGCCGCACGTCGAAACTGTTCGAAGCTGTCGCTGGAGGACTTCAGACCAGACAAGGGAGTAGAGGTGGATTTCTGCGCCAGGCTTGCCCAGGAACCCATGTTCTTCAGTTTCACATCCTGGGGACCAAACGAAGGACACGTTATGAAGCATAGTAACGTAGCATAACCAGTCCAGAACTGCTGTATTCATTGAAATTACAATGAATTAAGTCGTCCCTTCCACCCACCTGTACCTTTTTAGGCGCCACAGGAGTCTTGTGCTCCTGTTTGAATTTCTCTTTGTCCTGCATGGAAGGTGGTGGACCGCGCTGCTCAGAGGAGCGGATGACAGGACGGGAACTTTCAAGTGGTTTCATATCTGCTTCTAAAACAAGATGATAAACAGTTAGTTCTGGTCCTCTAATTTGACTGGCAGAGCAGAACAGAGATATTTAATATAACTGCATTTAGACATTTCACTGTTTGTTTGTCTGTAGCATTCTGCCAGAGTATGTGAGAATTGTTTAGTGGAAAGAAAGTTGTGGGATTTTGCATGGGGTGCAGAACTTTTTTTTTATAGCACAACTTCAGTCAGATCTGTTTGTGCAATGCTTGTAAACAAAAACTGTAAAAACTACTCGACAGTTGATATTACTTGATATTAAACTTATTGTTTATTGTATTGTATAAAAGCAACTTGAGGAAGACTTGTGTAATTTTGAATGTCAGCTTATCAGCACAGTGTGCTTAGTGTGAACATGCATACTTTGAAACAGGAGTTTCACTCACTCGGTTGGCTGTGGCCTGGCATTGTGGGTTTACTCTCGGGGTGTTTGTGAGGGTCTTGTCTCATGGCTGGACTGAAGGGCTCACCACGCATCACAGGTGAATGGAGCAGCTTCTCTTCTTTAATGCCACCCAAAGCTGAAGGACCTTGCTGTGGTTCCTGAAGCAAACAAAGCAACAAACATACTTTTATAACATCACATCATAGACATCCATGTGGACAATGGAAACAACGTCCACAGTGTCAAAGCAAAGAAATGGAAATGGTACTGACCTTTTTGGCCTGAGGAGGGGACTGGTGGACTAAAGCATACTGAGAGATTTGAGGGGAATGCATCATGAGCGGGGAGGGGTTATCTCGCATGTGTGCTGTCGAAATAAAGACACCATTAAAATACAAATATTTACAGTGCTGTCTGATACATTTGAAACTGCAGCTATAAGGTACTCATTGTAAAGTAGTTGAGCTACAGACAAGTTCCACTACAAGTTACTGACAAAAAATAGCGGACTACTTTTAACTATTGATAGTAGCGGGATATTTTTAATTTTTTTAAAACAGGAAGAGCATTTTTCTGGCACAAAATAATGACAAGCATCTAAATCAATGTTTCAAAATGAAAAAAAATTTTAATCAGCAAAAAATTACAAAAATAAATATGACTATATATATATATATAAAACCACTTATTTAGTAAATTAGGCATTTTTATGGCAAATACAAAAAACAAAACAAAATAATCATCAAATATTGTGATAAATATTTAGCAGTTTAAGCATCCATTTCACTACCAAAAAAGTATACAACAATGAACAAATAAATAGTTTGATACTATTTTTTTAATTTCAGCAACTAAAGCTGTTAAATTAAAAACTATGGTTTAAAAGACTGTGTTACCTGAGTTATAGGAGTCAGACTTGTGTTGACGTGGAGAGTGATACTGCTGCTGTTGCTGGATAATCTGCTGTGCTTTTGTGGAGGGCATGGAGACTTTGTGTTGACTAGGCTGCGTTTGCGTGGTCTGGACATGGCCTTGAGAGAAGCTCAGCTGCTGCGAGTGCTGCATGTGTCTGGCCTGATGCTGCGAGAGCTGCGGGGAGGGCTGGTGTGCCGCTGCCGGCTGGGCTTGAGTCTGAACGGGAATCTGCGGTGGGGGCAGGGAGCTCTGCTGGCTCATCTGAGACTGAACCTGCACTGACTGCAGCAAAGACTGCTGGCCCGGCTGCTGCAACCTGCTCTGCAGAGACTGCATTAGTGATGTCGGCGGCTGCTGCTGCAGGCGGTTTGGCTGCACGTGCTGCAGGTACATGGGCAGGGTCATAGAGGGAACGGGCTCCTCGTCATCCTCTAGCAGCATCTGTGGGGGCTGGGAGGACAGCAGGCCCTGGGGAGTGAGCGTGGGTGGGGAGAGGGGCCGCTGGCGGATTTGCTGGGGAGGATGCAGGAGGTGAGGAGGGAGGGGGTGCTGGGGCTGAGGGGGTTGCTGGGACTGGAGCTGCTGCGGCAGGGTCTGCTGGGGTTGCTGCTGCTGCTGGGGCGTGCTTTGCTGCGGAGGTTTAAGAGGTAGCGGGGCTGCCCTATTACTGGGCCTTGAAGGCTGCTGGGGCATTGCGTTGTGCAGGGCTAGAGACCAACAACACAAAGAGAGAGGAAGACCACAAAAGCATGGTTAAGTAAAGGGTCAATATAGAACACCTGCAATTTTTTAATAATTTTTGTAAACAAAAGTGCAAGATAAAGTGAAGAATAGAGCCAATCAGAGAATATCTACACCAGTTTGGACCAATGAGAGGTGGGCAGTGTGAAAATCGACATGGTAGTCCAGCAATAGTCTAACCAATAGTAAAACTGGTAAATCCTATAGCCACGGAAGAAATTTACTTTTGTCTTTTTAATGTATTTTCTGGAATATATGTCACATTATTTGAAACATCCTGCAACGTATATTCAAAAGCGACTAACATAATGCAACTGACATCAAGCACACAAAACATGCATAAACAACACACAACATCTGGATTTGTGCCGAACGTGAGGTATGTGAGCCCAAGTTTATATGTACAGCATGTTTCCCTCATGCCGGTAGTTTCAGTTTCACTTTAAAGAAATTCATTTAGGCTTGGCATTTATTATAAATGCTGTTTAACATGAATCCCACTATCATTTGTTTTTTTAATGTGCTGTATTTGGAAGCATTACAAGTATGTGCAAAGCATTTGCTGTGAAGTGAGAGGAATGAAAATGTTAATAGTGTTTCTGAATGTTTATAAATGTTTCAGTATATATTTATCGGTGTTCCTGAATATAATACAATTTTTGTTTTTTTGCAAATTTGACCCAGTACATTCGGAAAGTACTCTACATCTAACCTAGTTAGGACATAGTATTAAGGTATTTCTGACTTAATAAACCGGATTTTTCCACTTACCTGGGGATGGGAGGATGGGGTGCTGGTTCAGGAATGGGTGGGTCTCAGGAGACACTGGGCCTCCTGGAGGGTGAGCGTTGAGGTGAGGAGGCGCAGGGGAGGGCGAGTCATTGGCATGGTGGGGAAGGTGCATGAGGGGCTGGACGAAGTGGGCCAGAGGGTCAAAGGAGTTTTCCAGGAGCTGCGAGGGCTCCAGAGCTGTGACGGGAGGAGGCATGTAAGCGGCGGGAGAAGGATGCTGCTGATGCGGCTTCAGCTGAACACTGGGCTGCAGTGCAGGGGTCTGGGGTTGATGGGGAACTTGCGGCTGAGGCACGCCTGAAGCCAACACCTGGTGATGAGCCTTCTTTCCTTCACCTCTCCCTCTCTTCTTCAGCTTAGAAGCCATCCCTGGGTTCACGAAGGAAGATTCTTCATGAAATGCAGCTTCTTGAATCATTTAACATTTACAAAGCATTAGAAATGCAGCTGTTCACGTTATGGAGCTACAGGGCTCACCTGTCTCTGAGTCTTCACTTTCTGAGGAGCTGGACTCACTGCTGCTGCCCATCTCGGAGGATGAGCCTTTTGTCTTTGCAGCACTCATTGCCTCCATGGTCTTCTCTGGAACTGAAGGACAAGAAACAATGAACAATGATCAATAAGAATATGTATGCACTTGGTATTTATGTTGATTTTGGGTGATGCAACGTAACAGACAGCATTAAATACAAGTGTAAAAAGGGATCCAATGTGTTTTAGAGACACTCTAGTTATGTTTACATGCACTGAATTGCCAAAAAGAATGAACCCAGTTCTATTTGAGCTTGTGAAATTTCTGTTTATATAAACCATAAACTTTACAATCAGATTCATGTATTCATCTACATGTGATGTCATGCATTCTGAACAAAACTTCAGTGCAGTCTCTTCCACTGACCAGTTTTTTTTTTTTTGTAAGATGTAAAACGAATGTAAATATACACATCATGACACTGCGCATGTGCACAAGGTGTTTTTCAATCTGACTGAGAAGGTAGTTGGATTCAAGCATTTACATGCTTAATTTTTTTCCTGTTGATTGGATTATTTCAGGTCTTCACCACCCCTTCCAATTTGACCAAAATTTCATTTGGGTAGAGCTCATTCGGATCAACTGTGGTGTTTACATGAAGGCTACCCAATCTAATGGAGCAATGAATCAAAGTATTAGGTTGCATGTTAATGTAACTAGTGTGTTGCAATTACTCAAAACTACCTACTGCGGTGGTCAGCACTTTATATGCACATATCAAATTTGGAAAGTCAATGCAAATGCATCCCAGACAACATTCTGGGACAGATGTGTCCAATCTTACTCCTGGAGGGCCACCTTCCAGCAGAGTTCAGCTCCATTCCCAATTAAACACACCTAAACCAGCTAATCAAGGTTTTCAGGATCACTAGAAACTTCCAGGCAGGTGTTTTGGAGCTAAACTCTGCAAGAATGTGGCCTAACAGCAGCATAATTGGACACCCCTTTTCTAGGATTACCTACAAGATAGTGTCAAACCAAGTGAATATGTACAGCCAATCCTCTGATATGGCTGAGCACTTTTGGTAGGACCACCAGAGACAGAAGTGTAAACAGGGCCTTAGCGTTAAAGAGGTTTGTAAAATCATTTATCTGCTGTGCTTTTGTGGAGGGCATGGAGACTTTGTGTTGACTAGGCTGCGTTTGCGTGGTCTGGACATGGCCTTGAGAGAAGCTCAGCTGCTGCGAGTGCTGCATGTGTCTGGCCTGATGCTGCGAGAGCTGCGGGGAGGGCTGGTGTGCCGCTGCCGGCTGGGCTTGAGTCTGAACGGGAATCTGCGGTGGGGGCAGGGAGCTCTGCTGGCTCATCTGAGACTGAACCTGCACTGACTGCAGCAAAGACTGCTGGCCCGGCTGCTGCAACCTGCTCTGCAGAGACTGCATTAGTGATGTCGGCGGCTGCTGCTGCAGGCGGTTTGGCTGCACGTGCTGCAGGTACATGGGCAGGGTCATAGAGGGAACGGGCTCCTCGTCATCCTCTAGCAGCATCTGTGGGGGCTGGGAGGACAGCAGGCCCTGGGGAGTGAGCGTGGGTGGGGAGAGGGGCCGCTGGCGGATTTGCTGGGGAGGATGCAGGAGGTGAGGAGGGAGGGGGTGCTGGGGCTGAGGGGGTTGCTGGGACTGGAGCTGCTGCGGCAGGGTCTGCTGGGGTTGCTGCTGCTGCTGGGGCGTGCTTTGCTGCGGAGGTTTAAGAGGTAGCGGGGCTGCCCTATTACTGGGCCTTGAAGGCTGCTGGGGCATTGCGTTGTGCAGGGCTAGAGACCAACAACACAAAGAGAGAGGAAGACCACAAAAGCATGGTTAAGTAAAGGGTCAATATAGAACACCTGCAATTTTTTAATAATTTTTGTAAACAAAAGTGCAAGATAAAGTGAAGAATAGAGCCAATCAGAGAATATCTACACCAGTTTGGACCAATGAGAGGTGGGCAGTGTGAAAATCGACATGGTAGTCCAGCAATAGTCTAACCAATAGTAAAACTGGTAAATCCTATAGCCACGGAAGAAATTTACTTTTGTCTTTTTAATGTATTTTCTGGAATATATGTCACATTATTTGAAACATCCTGCAACGTATATTCAAAAGCGACTAACATAATGCAACTGACATCAAGCACACAAAACATGCATAAACAACACACAACATCTGGATTTGTGCCGAACGTGAGGTATGTGAGCCCAAGTTTATATGTACAGCATGTTTCCCTCATGCCGGTAGTTTCAGTTTCACTTTAAAGAAATTCATTTAGGCTTGGCATTTATTATAAATGCTGTTTAACATGAATCCCACTATCATTTGTTTTTTTAATGTGCTGTATTTGGAAGCATTACAAGTATGTGCAAAGCATTTGCTGTGAAGTGAGAGGAATGAAAATGTTAATAGTGTTTCTGAATGTTTATCAATGTTTCATTTATCAGTATTTTACGGTGTTCCTGAATATAATACAATTTTTGTTTTTTTGCAAATTTGACCCAGTACATTCGGAAAGTACTCTACATCTAACCTAGTTAGGACATAGTATTAAGGTATTTCTGACTTAATAAACCGGATTTTTCCACTTACCTGGGGATGGGAGGATGGGGTGCTGGTTCAGGAATGGGTGGGTCTCAGGAGACACTGGGCCTCCTGGAGGGTGAGCGTTGAGGTGAGGAGGCGCAGGGGAGGGCGAGTCATTGGCATGGTGGGGAAGGTGCATGAGGGGCTGGACGAAGTGGGCCAGAGGGTCAAAGGAGTTTTCCAGGAGCTGCGAGGGCTCCAGAGCTGTGACGGGAGGAGGCATGTAAGCGGCGGGAGAAGGATGCTGCTGATGCGGCTTCAGCTGAACACTGGGCTGCAGTGCAGGGGTCTGGGGTTGATGGGGAACTTGCGGCTGAGGCACGCCTGAAGCCAACACCTGGTGATGAGCCTTCTTTCCTTCACCTCTCCCTCTCTTCTTCAGCTTAGAAGCCATCCCTGGGTTCACGAAGGAAGATTCTTCATGAAATGCAGATTCTTGAATCATTTAACATTTACAAAGCTTTAGAAATGCAGCTGTTCACGTTATGGAGCTACAGGGCTCACCTGTCTCTGAGTCTTCACTTTCTGAGGAGCTGGACTCACTGCTGCTGCCCATCTCGGAGGATGAGCCTTTTGTCTTTGCAGCACTCATTGCCTCCATGGTCTTCTCTGGAACTGAAGGACAAGAAACAATGAACAATGATCAATAAGAATATGTATGCACTTGGTATTTATGTTGATTTTGGGTGATGCAACGTAACAGACAGCATTAAATACAAGTGTAAAAAGGGATCCAATGTGTTTTAGAGACACTCTAGTTATGTTTACATGCACTGAATTGCCAAAAAGAATGAACCCAGTTCTATTTGAGCTTGTGAAATTTCTGTTTATATAAACCATAAACTTTACAATCAGATTCATGTATTCATCTACATGTGATGTCATGCATTCTGAACAAAACTTCAGTGCAGTCTCTTCCACTGACCAGTTTTTTTTTTTTTTGTAAGATGTAAAACGAATGTAAATATACACATCATGACACTGCGCATGTGCACAAGGTGTTTTTTAATCTGACTGAGAAGGTAGTTGGATTCAAGCATTTACATGCTTAATTTTTTTCCTGTTGATTGGATTATTTCAGGTCTTCACCACCCCTTCCAATTTGACCAAAATTTCATTTGGGTAGAGCTCATTCGGATCAACTGTGGTGTTTACATGAAGGCTACCCAATCTAATGGAGCAATGAATCAAAGTATTAGGTTGCATGTTAATGTAACTAGTGTGTTGCAATTACTCAAAACTACCTACTGCGGTGGTCAGCACTTTATATGCACATATCAAATTTGGAAAGTCAATGCAAATGCATCCCAGACAACATTCTGGGACAGATGTGTCCAATCTTACTCCTGGAGGGCCACCTTCCAGCAGAGTTCAGCTCCATTCCCAATTAAACACACCTAAACCAGCTAATCAAGGTTTTCAGGATCACTAGAAACTTCCAGGCAGGTGTTTTGGAGCTAAACTCTGCAAGAATGTGGCCTAACAGCAGCATAATTGGACACCCCTTTTCTAGGATTACCTACAAGATAGTGTCAAACCAAGTGAATATGTACAGCCAATCCTCTGATATGGCTGAGCACTTTTGGTAGGACCACCAGAGACAGAAGTGTAAACAGGGCCTTAGCGTTAAAGAGGTTTGTAAAATCATTTACCGGCGGGTTTCTTATTCTTGCGAAGGCAGGACGACACATATCTCTCCAGTTCCCGCAGTGTAGAAGGCTTCAACGTCTCAAAGTCTATCTCAATCTCGTCCGGGTTGGAGTTCTTTAGCGAGGGTTCGCGGGACTGGATAATGTGGACCACACGGCCCAGCTTGTCTCCAGGCAGCTTGTTAATGTCCAGACTCAGCTGTCTCTTTTCTTCATAGGACATAGGCTTACACTTCTCTCCAACAGGCATGCCTGCCATTGCGGCTCCTCCACTCAGACCCAGATCCTCCTCAGGATCCAGGCTCACCACAGGTAGCAGGGTTGGTGGAGCAGCACCTGGGGGAGCCATGGAGCGACTGCCCTTACCTCCCTCCTTCTTGCTATAGGGCATAAGACAACAAGAACTTCTCATTTTTAATGACACTATACAGTTATTGGGTAAACAGCAAAATTCTCAGACTCTCCACATTGATAAAAGTGATTAAACCATGTAATTTTGGATACTTTCTTGCCTGAAATTTGTATTACCAAATATAGCTCACCTCAGCTTCTTGGGCTTCTTAGGCAGAGGATCCTTGTTCTTAGGCTTTCCTTGAGCCTTGAGGGTAGGAGGCGGCTCCAGGATCTCTTCCAGTGCAGGCATAACTCCCGCTTTCTTTTTGTGCTTGTCTTTCTTCTTCTCCTTCTTTTCCTTCTCTTTTTTCTTTGGTTTGCTGACCTGAGGCTGGGACAAGGCAGCCAGCTGCTCATGAACCGCTTTCAGCTGAGCAACAAAAGAGAAGAAACAAAACAGGGAGATTAAATTCTTCTCAGGGGGACAGTATCGCATCTTTGTAAAGTGTAAACTTTTCTACACTTCTAGTATCTATGGTGACAGATCTTTCGGCCAGCTTGTCCTTGAAAAGACTTCTTCCTTGGGTACGTGCTGGCAAAAACTAAGCATAGATCTGCTCACCTGCTCCTGAAGCTCTGCTAGCCTCTGGGCTCTCTCCTCTTCAGAGTCATCCGTGGAGGAGTCAGATTCAGATGAGGAATCACTGGAGCTGTCAGAGGACGAGGCCGTGCCCATGGGTGGCTGTGTCTTGACAGGAGCCTGGTGGAGCACTGGCGCAGGAGCGGGTCCCAGCATTTCCTCTGGCTCATCGGGCATTTTAGCAAAACGCATCTCAAACACATCCTACAAAAAGAGAAAACCTTTTGATGATCTAGTATAAGACGCTTCTCATCTTCATTTAAGAATTCAGCAATGTGCACTTTGATACATTCTGACAACATTATAGAAACTATAAGAGTGGAACATTACTGTTAATTTTTTTTGCCGCGTTCACAGATTTCATTTCTCAACCACTTTCACACTTCTGTCAATTAGGGTCAGAAATTAACAGGGGCTTAGGGGCCAAAAAACCCACCCAAAATCAAGTTAAGGGGCCAAAAAAAACCCCGGCTCTTCACAATTAGACTAAATCTATTACGACTGTGGAGATTAAAGTTAAGTGTGAAAGTGAATGAAAAGTGTAGATTGCAGCATTACATTTAGATCTGCTCATGTTACATTCAATTTCTTTTTACATGTTTCTTTGCAGCATTCAGCATTACTTACACTAGACTGAAGTCATGGACCACTTTAGTGATAGGAAACATTTTCTTTGCTTGCTTTCTGTATATAGTTTATTCCCAGTTTGAATAACGTTTTTCAATCTACTAAAATAACCATTAAATCATCTTGATTTTATAATGTGTAAAAAGCAATAAAGTAATTCATAAACTGTTTTTAGGTTTTGTTTACATAGCCAGAATGACAAGTCTTCTCCCAAAACACAAAAACATTATTTTATGCAGTCTACTGTTCAACACTAAAAATTATTACATATCATGAGCAAAGATCAACAATTACTTTGCCATAATATTGCCCGGTAGTAAGTTGCTGTTCTTTATTTGTACAATTTATATACTTTATGCATGCTATTTACTTGAAAATAAAAAATAAGGGTCAAATATTGCCCCTTAAAGGGTTAGTTCACCCAAAAATGAAAATCAGCCCATAAATTACTCACCCTCAAGTCATCCTAGGTGCATACGACTTTCTTCTTTCATACGATTCCAGTCGGAGTTATATAAAAAAATTGTCTTAGCTGTTTAAAGGGGTCATATGATGCAAGGCATCACAATATGTTAAGGGGCGTAACATTTCCGTCACACGCTTGAGGTATTCAGCCAATCACAACGCACTGGATAGCTGGCCAATCAAAGCACACCTCGCTTTTCAGACCGATGAGCTTTGTAAAAATTGTGTTTCAGAAAGGCGGGGCATAGAGGAGAAACAATAATGTACATTATGTGGAAAATAATGTCTTTTTTTTAACCTTAAACCGCATAAACATTTCATTACACCAAATAATGTTCTTTTTAGCAACATCATATGACCGCTTTAATGGCACTCAGCAGGTGTTGCATGCATCAGTCCAAAAGCACTTAATTAAAATGCACCCATCCATGCGTTTTTGTAAGAAAAATATCCATATTCAAAACGTAATAATCACTTTAATGTAGCTTGCGCTCACTGTTGTTCACTGGAAGCAGTTCCGGGCGGATGACGGATGAGGTCAGCGCTGTGCACGCACCGGTGAGTCTCGTGAAAACCAACGTTTGTTTACAGGAGCAAAGGAAGCAAAGTTTCCTTACTTTAGCAAAGGAAAACTAGTCTCCTCTTGGCTTATATCGAAATCCTCCGACATTCTTCTTTACAAATCCTTGTTTTGAACTTCTAATTAGTGACCGTTGTTTTGTTTTGATCTCTCCCCTGCGCTTCCACGTGCGTCACTTCTGAGCGGCGCATGCGCAAAGCCAACCTCCATACGTCATCCGCCCGGAACAGCTTCCAGTGTACAACAGTGAGCGCAAGCTACATTAAAGTGATTATTACGTTTTGAATATGGTTATTTTTCTTACAAAAACGCATTGATTCGCTACAGAAGGCCTTTGTTCACCCCCCGGAGCCATGTGAGAGACTTTTTTTTAATGGATGGGCGCATTTTAATTAAATAACGAAGAAAGTCATATACACCTAGGATTACTTAAGTCAAGTAATTTATGAGCTAATTTGAATTTTTGGGTGAACTAACCCTTTAATGGAGAAGTTAATTTCTGACCCTGCTGTCAGTGCATCGCTAGATTTACTGGATACCACAATGACAGGTAATACAGCATGGTCTACCGCGAGTCACTTACATAATGTAAACACGGACAAGCCAGCTAAACGCCTGACTAGGAAAAAAGACTTGTCATGCAAGCCATAATGTACACAGTGTTTTGCAGGTATACACGTACCTGCAGTTTGCGTGCCATAGCCACCACTTCATGGTCTGGAGGGTTGTACTTGTAGCAGTTGGAGAACATTAACCGTACATCTGCTGCAAACTCCTGAGCATCTCTGTACTGTCTGTTTTCCAACATTTCCTGTACAACCACAGAGAAAACTGAATGGATAAGAACGGAAAGCAAAAGTGGCTCATCGTCTGATTGAGAACCAGCAGCTGTATTTTCACCTTAATAGCGCTGAGGTCCATGGGATGCTTGATGATGTCATGGTAATCGTGTAGCCCTAAAGCATCCACATCCACTGGCTTGTAGAAGGGCCAAGCGTATGCTGCATGCTTCTTAGCAAACATGTCTTTTACAATGCCGGAGCAGTAGCGTAGCTGCTCTTGTTGCTTGGGGCTGTGGGTCCCAGTGGCGGGTGTCCAATGATGCTGGGAGTCTGGTGCCTCTTTTTTGGGTAGTTTGCTTGGTCGTGTACTATCCCGGCGTGGCAGAGTCTTTCCTGACTTTGACTCAGCAGGCGAGGACTCGTTCAGCGGATCGTTTGCCGTAGGTGTCGTGGTGTCTGCTTTCCTTTTCTGACTTTTTCTCTGCTGCTGATGAAAAAAAGCGAGTGAGGACAAAGACACAAGACTAAAAACAAGAAGAATGACACTGTGTTTGAATGTTATGAGTCAACTTACTTTGGGAAGCATTGGGATGGGGCTTTGTAGAATAGGAGGAGCGCTCTGCTGCATGTGCACGGGCGGCAGGGCAGTTTGGGTCGGAGGAGGCACAGCTGTCATCAAGGGGACCTGTGGGTTGCAGTCTGTGGGGCCCATAGAAAAAGGTGGCCCTAATTGAGGCGCAAGGGGAGGATGTGAAGGGAGCGAGGGGGGCACTCGAAGGGGCAAGGCTTGCATGGTGGACTGGGGAGGTAAAGTAGGCGGACCTTGCGGTGGTCCTCTCGTTTGTGGCCCAGGGGCAAGACTGGAAAGGCCACGTGTTTGAGGGTTTGCATGCGTAGACTCCAGGCCAGGTGCAATCTTCAGGTTCATGTCTAATAATACAGAGAGACAGAATACAGAGGAATTAAAATGATTAATTTTAGAGCCATTAGGTGGAGCTTGACATCCAGCTCCCCCTCGGTGGAAGTAATGGGTGGAACTAGACACTCCAACCACACCCTAACCATACCCTTTCGCTAAACATAACTACACCCATTAGGTTTACAGAGGTGTAGCTCGACTGGGTAAAGCTCCACCCATTACATCCAGATAAGGGGAGCTGGATGTCGTTTGGCTCTGCAGTGAGCACTACTTGGGACAGACAATGAAGCCCAAATGATCTTCTGGCCACAGCAGTTGTGTAGGATCCCTAAAATGGTAGCAGTGTGAGTGGCCCTCAGGTAAGAGAGAGTATGAGACTTATACCTGGATCCTTCCTGCCCCGGCCACGACCCTTGCCGGATGTGGTCGTCAACTCAATCTCCTGCTGGGGCATCTCTGAAATCTTGTGGAGGAACGCCTTCTCCAGTGCTTCTGCCATTAAGACTATGTCATCCCCAGGCTGCAGGGGGCGACACATACCATTAACCACACGCCTAAACACACCACTATGATCCATTATAAATGATGGGAGCAGAAATGTGAACCAGTACCTTATTGTAAATGTAGCAGTTAGTAAACATGGTGTTGAAGTCTTGAATACATTCTTGGGCATTGATATAGTAACTGTTCTCTAGGCGTTTCTTGATTGTTCCCATGTCCATAGGATTTTTGATTATCTTGTAATAGTCCTAGTGAGAGGAAGTTACAAAAGTCAGCATAACACATCACAATCCATAACTTTCATCATCATAACGACCTTATTGTTTTTTAATAACAGCAAACAGCTTTCCATGGAGAACATTTTGATCTCAAAAGGTGCCTTTCACACACAACACATCTTTGCAACTAAAAACATGCCTCCTCAGAGCTCGCAAAATTTCAAAATCCCTGGTAGCCCTTCGGGCAGGTACTCTTCAGATTTTAGTAGCCCGAAAATTAATTTAACTAGCCCAAATAAAATAAAAAAAGGCCTTTTTTTTTAATATAGAAAATCAGATAAGAGTTTAAATGCCAATCAAAAATATTTTCAGTACACAAATATCAACAAATATGAAGGAAGGAATTTTATTTCACTATTTACAGGGTATCTGCAGAATTTAAAAAAATAAATTTAAGATGATTTATGACCCATTTTAAGAGCTGCACAAGTAAAATGAACAGTATGAGTGGGGCTGGACAATGTCTAAGGCAGGGGTGGCGAACGTCAGTCCTGGAGAGCCGCAGCCCTGCAGAGTTTTGCTTCAACCATAATCAAACACACCTGAACAAGCTAATCACGGTCTGAACGGTTACTAGGAAGCTACAGGCAGGCGAGTTTTAATTAGGGTTGGAGCTGAACTCTGCAGGGCTGCGGCTCTCCAGGACCGGAGTTCGCCACCCCTGGTCTAAGGTAACACAGTATTGAGCCATAAAATAACATGATTTACAGTTCAGATACAGGTTTTCACAAAAACAAATCTTATACAACAGCATTTCAGCCTTTAGACCATTTTTATGAAAAGAGATAAATCAAGAATATAAATTATGTCAATTTAAAATGTATAAATATTACCGTCTTAATTGTTTAGATTTTTAGAAGGCACATTAACTTCTTTCTCATTTACAACTCTGTGTTTGCTGCGTAAAAACATGAGTTGATATTTGCATTGATCTGACCATAAACAGCAAGAAAGGCTTATTGGAAATGCAAATTCACTCTATGCCACGAGTTGGCTCCAATATTGCGGTTTCCCCGGTAACGGCTGTACACAATGCAGCTCCGGGCTCATAAAATTAAAATGCCAAGGACACGTTTCTGAGGACAGTGACTATAGAATACCCTTAAAGGCACTTTTGGGACAGTCGGTTCCCTTCAGATACATTCAAATAAAGACATCCGCACCGCGTTTTGACTTGAAACGTGCAGCGCTCATATTTATTAAATAACATCATTGCCTTTTGAAGTTTAATCCAGCCGTATCGCGACTCTTGTCTTTCCGTCCCCAACTGTAAGACATCTTGAAATTATAATTAAGACATTTCTTATGCCATTTAACGTATTTAAAACTTATGGCCTTAAGTTTGATACAACTCACTTTAGGAGTTTTTAAGGACCCGCGGGAGATCTGTATTGAAGATAGCCCGTCGGACAGAGTGGTGATACATTTTGTTAGCCCAACTGGAAAACACAATAGCCCCGGGACGTCGGGCTAGCGATTTTGCGAGCCCTGCTCCTCCGCCATGTTGCAGTCAAATAAAACCGTTGGCATGCCAACTTGCTACTGCAAACAAAACAAAGCTCGCAACACATGCCCTTCTGATTGGTTCACCGTTTTGGAACTAACATTGATGAATGGTGCTGCATGCAAAAGTTGGAATTCTTTTAACTTGACAACATCTTAACGCAGCGGTCAAGTGCGAGATGCTGCAAAACATGCGAGACGCGAGTGTAACGGTCATACATGTCCGCCTAGCCTGTGTTTACATAGAAAAACAATGGAAAAGTAGCGCAATGGAATAGAAAAACACGTTCTGTGTGGATGCCCCCTAAGAGTACTCAAAAGCTAATTTTCCACCAATAGTGTGATGCACAATCTAGAACTTTTCCACCATTCCCATTAGGGATGCACGATATTGGATTTTTGCCGATATCCGATATTTTTCAACTCTTTTGGCCAATAGCCCATGCTGATAACTATATATTTCCTTTTGTTTGGAAACAACACCAAGTTTCTCCTGTGCGGAAATTATAAGCAAATTATTTTTGATTTTGGTTAGTTTTTAACAAGAACTTATTTGTTAGAATAAAATAAACAATAATGAAGTTATTTTATAATTACAATACATTAAAGCTTTGAAAAAAAAAAAAACTATAACTATATATCAATCAGATATAGCAAAAGAGTTGTCAAAATTCTGAAAATATTTTAGAGCTCATAATTTGTTTAAAAATATAACATTACACATTAACAAATAAATCAGTATATATAAAATTATTTAATTTACAAGTGTCATGTTTGTGATTTTTTAAATTCATGTAAGCTATAGCTTCTTACCTTTAAATAAAAAAACATACTCATGATTTTAAGACATCTATTACTGCTTTATTTAATCAGAAACTCAGTCTAAATGTTATTTGTGTATTTTACCTGTGCGGAAATTATAAGCAAATTATTTTTGATTTTGGTTAGTTTTTAACAAGAACTTATTTGTTAGAATAAAATAAACAATAATGAAGTTATTTTATAATTACAATACATTAAAGCTTTGAAAAAAAAAAAAACTATAACTATATATCAATCAGATATAGCAAAAGAGTTGTCAAAATTCTGAAAATATTTTAGAGCTCATAATTTGTTTAAAAATATAACATTACACATTAACAAATAAATCAGTATATATAAAATTATTTAATTTACAAGTGTCATGTTTGTGATTTTTTTAATTCATGTAAGCTATAGCTTCTTACCTTTAAATAAAAAAACATACTCATGATTTTAAGACATCTATTACTGCTTTATTTAATCAGAAACTCAGTCTAAATGTTATTTGTGTATTTTACTTTCATTTTATTAAAAATAGACCAACAGCACCCCCTATGGAATTAAAACTCCTTACCGAACAGGCGTTAGGACCCGGGGGAGGCTGCCGCTGCTATTATTGTTTCACACACTGAACGCTTCATTCTATACGTGCATTCTCGGTTTAAATGCAGCTATCCAAAACAGTGAATCTAATTACCATTCAGGCAAAACTTTGCTTCAAAAATTAGTCACACTGCTGACGTGATCTAATCGCTAGCACACCCACAGCACATGTGAGTTAACCTATTCCTCTAATCAGCAAGACACGTTGGATTAATGTTTCATATCGGGCCGATGTACAGTCGTGGTCAGAATTATTGGCACCCTTGGTAAATATGATCAAAGGTGGCGGTGAAAATAAATCTGCATTGGCATTGCATTAATCATTTTGATATTTTATTTAAAAAAATTCACATAAATCCAACCTTTCATTGGAGAATAAGAATTTAAAATGGGGGGAAATATCATTATGACATACTGTAAATGTTTTTCTCAAATACACGTTGGACACAATTATTGGTACCCCTAGAAATTCTTATGAGTCATGAAAAAAAAATACCTTAATGTACCGTGAAACCGGTATAATTTAGAAAAATACCGTGATATAAATTTAAATTCCCTTAATCAGCCATCACAATGAGAAAAACCAAAGAATATATTTCTGATGTGCAGCAAAAGATAATTGAGCTTCACAAATTAGAAAGTGACTATAAGAAAAGAGCTAGAGCAGTGAAAATTCCATTTCCACCATCAGGGCAATAATTAAGAATTTTCAATCAACAGAAAATATTACAAATTTGCCTGGAAGAGGACGTGTGTCTATATCCTAATGCATCCTAATGTCCTAATGCACGGCGAGGAGGAGAGTTTGAGTGGCTAAAGACTCTCCAAGGACGGACCACAGCTGGAGAACTGCAGAAAATAGTTGAGTCTCAGGGTCAGAAAACCTTAAAAAAAAAAAAACTCAAACAGCACCTACACCACATGTTGTTTGGGAGGGTTTCAAGAAAAAAAAAAAAAAAAATGCTCTCATCCAAAACCAATCCCCAGCATATTCTGTTGTCAGACATGACTGGAACTTAAAATGGGACTGGCTTCTATGGTCAGATGTAACTAAAAAATTAGCTTTTTAGCAACAAACACTCAAGATGGGTTTGGTGCACACAGGGATAAAAATTACCCCATGTGTACAACGAAATATACTGCTGTATTTTTAATGTTGTGGGCCTGCTGGAGGTCCTGGACCTTTTGTTTAGATACATGGCATCTTTGATTCTATCAAATACCAAAAGATAAAAAAATCAAAAAGTGACTGACTCCGTTAGAAACCTTGTAATGGGCCATGTTTGGATCTTCCAACCGGACAATAATCCAAAAACAAACCTTAAAAACAAAACAAAAATGTGTCACTGGGCACAAAACCAAGCTTCTGCTATGGCCATTCCAGTTCCCTGACCTGAACCCTATAAAAAAAATGAATGGGGTGAACTGAAGAGGAGAAGCACCATCATGGAGCTGGGAGTCTGAAGGGTCTGGAGAGATTCTGGATGAAGGAATTGTCTCCGATCTCTTGTCAGGTGCTCTCTAACCTCATCAGGCATTATAGGAGAAAACTCAGAGCTGTTATTATGCCAAATGGAGGTTTCAAAAAGCATTGAATAAAAGGGTGCCGTTAATTGTGTCCAATGTGTATTAGAGAAAAACATTTGTCAATGATATTTCTCCCCCATTTTAAATTCTTATTCTCCAATGAAAGGTTAGATTTATGTGAATTTTTTAAATAAAAGATCAAAATTATTAATGCAGATTTATTTTCACAGCCGCCTTTGATCATATTTACCAAGGGTGCCAATAATCCTGACCACGACTGTACATTCAAAGCCATTATCGGCCGGTTCCGATATCGGTCAGATAATATCGTGCATCTATAATTCCCATCACAGGAAAGACAGCTCTGAGCCAGAGAAACAGGCTCTGCAACAGCCACAACAACCTGCTGGTCTTGAATTAGGAACTGCTAACGTCAGAGTACAGAGGGCGGGAAAATGACTTCAAGTTTTTAAAACACACACTCGTTCTGGTAAACAAAACTAGAATGCATGTATACTGCGAATACTGTTGGCTCAGTGACGAATTGTGTATGCTCCTCTATCTTAAATCGCTTTGGATAAAACTTCAGCATGTATACACAATCAGCCTACAATTGGCCTCGGTGTTGTGCACACGCTCTGAAAGTGTCATCTTCGGTAGATCATTAAAAAGATAGATTCTTTTGATTATTCTTTTATATGTCAGGCTTTGCAAAAACCTGCAGTCACTGCTTGATGTAAGTGTACTTACTGATATGGTTTGTTTGCGAGCAGGTTATGAAGTAACATTCTGTAAATTAGGGGTGTCGAAATTAATCGTTTCTACGATGCATCGCGATGCAGATGAGGACGATTCGGTATCGGTTCAGTAATAGACCATAACTGATTATAACGTACTGGCGCTTTTCTGATGTCATTTGTCGCATGCGTGCTTTGTCGCGGTAGCACACAATGGCGGAGGGAGGCGAGACGAGAGTGAGTAATTAAAAATGCTCCAACTACTTTAAAAGTCGACATCAGACCATTCCAAAAATGGCAGATGGCTTACGTATTGCATTACGTATCGCGTATTCCATAGAAACAGTCGCTAATGAGGCATCTACATATATATCTATGGTAATTAGGGATGCACCGACATTAAAATTTTGGCCGATACCGATAACCGATTATTCTTTATTTTTGAAAGCCGATAACCGATATGTTGGCCGATAAATCTATATCCAAATTGTTATATACTTTTTGAGAGCCTGATTACAAAAAAGGTCTCATCATTAAAAGCCACATCCCAAACACTTCAACATAAGCAGCCTAGTTTGAACGGTGTACGTTTTAAAAATATTTTTACTCTCCCATTACCAAATTTAGTCATAAAAAAGCCTTACAAATAAATAAAATTATGCATAAATAATGCAAACAAGTCACTGGACATCATTACACGTGTAAAGAATCAAAATGAATGTGCCATAGATCAATAAAACGGAATAGCCTCTGCACGGACAATAATTAAATGATTTTAATTACTAAACCATATTGTTGATGAAAATAATAAGAGAAAAATACAAGTGGTTGTTGTTATTAATAATATATCAATGATTTTGAAAAAGTAACAAATTAATACCACTGTTTTAAATAGCAGCCGTTGAGCTGCACGTGCTGAAGCTGAAGAGCTGAATGAACATGGTAAACTGAAGCGTTTTGCTGGCAGCTTATTTAACTCAAGGAAATGCATCCTGGGATTAATATTAATACAACATAAACATAATATTATAACTTATATATGTACAAAATGATGCAGTTATTGTGTGCTATAGTCAGAATGTGTGATCCTGTTGTGGATGCGCTCTTCCCATATCAACGCGCTGAAACACGGCAACTAAACCCAAAGAATTCACAACGTTTTATTATAATAATGTTCTCATTAGAATGTTATATACACGACATTCCCAATCATAGTTATTAATGTTGTGCACTGCTGTTTGAGCTGCGTGTGCTGAGCTAAAGATGATCACCGGTAAACTGAAGCGCTCTTTTAACTTAACCAAACGCATTCTATATGAGATAAATCAGATATACATCAAATAAACACAATATTACAATGTACAATTGCACAAAAGGCTGCAAACAAACAAGGCGCATCTGAAGTGTCTCTGAAGGAAATAATGCATTATTTATCGGCTTTAAGATATCGGCCAAATTTTCTTATCAGGCCGATACCGATAACAGAAAAAATGAGCCGATATGGGCCGATACCGATATGGTGGCCGATATATCGTGCATCCCTAATGGTAATACCACTATCTTGACAAACCACGTCAGCCGTTTTCACCCTGAGCTGTTAACGCCCGTCAGTGCCAAGGTGGACCCAGCTCAGACAAAAATTATACATTCAAGAAGCATGTTTTCTTTGAGCAGGTAAAATTAAAGGTTCAGTTCATATATCTGACTGCTTGTATTTATTGACAAAATTGTAGGCTATACATGTGAATTATAATTGAAAATTGAGGATGCAGTGCATCGTCAATGCATCGTGATATCAAATTGAACCGAATCGATGACATGATAATCGTAATCGAACCGTGAGACCAGTGTAGGTTCACACCCCCACTGTAAATGCAGGGCAGTTCAAAGACCAAATAGCACATCATCAAACAGATGATCTTCTAGCACCATTTCAGTGGCAAAACAATTGCAGTAAAAGTCAGTGCAGCTACGCTGTCTGACAGGATCTGCTCATTAGACATAACAGGACTGTAAATGGACAGTTAGTTCACTCACAGGCAGATTCAGCTTAATGGCATCAACAGGAGAATGGAAAGGCCAAGCGAACTGGTGCTTCCAAAGAGTCTTCAGCACCCCCTTCAGCAGGTACTGCAGCTGGTTGGTCTGGCGCTTTGGCCGGGAAGGGTTAATGATTTCTGGGGTGCAGGGGTTGAAGATGCCAGGGGCCTGGGACAAGGGCTGCCCCTGACTGCTGCTGCTCCCTGACATCTGCAATGCGTCCAGGCCGTCCCCCATACTGGTGGGGTGGATCGCGGGCAGAGGGGCGAGAGGGGGTGGGGCAGGACACCACTCGTTCAGTCTCGAGCCAGGCGCGGGCTCCACAGGGAGAGCACCGCTAATTCCATTGCACTCCTCGCTGGGCTCTCTGTGAAGGAAGCAAATCACAGTCATTAGCTCTTTAATTTGCATCTATGCCATCTGCATCAGATCCATCACTGTAATCATCACTATCATCTCAATTATACTTAACTACCAGCACATATCCTCTCTGCCCCCCAAAACAGCATTATTCAAATGGTTCATGTTTGCTTAAGTAATTGCCCGTAGATTCTCTTAATTATCCTCCGATGCGGTCTGAATCATTTACATAGTCTGCAAGTCTCATACTGGGTTTTGGACAGCTGTTATTACTCTGTAACACGTCCAAGTAGGTGCCGTCAGGCCATTTAATTACTGACATGGATACTAGCAATTTTTTCTTCCATATTGTGAAGTGCATCTGAGTGAAATGGACCATCGGAAAAAAAACAAACAATGTAGGGTGGGGACTTGCATGGTTCTGTGCTTAGGTTGTTAACTGGATGGAGGCAGATGTGAACGAGAGCTTGCAGTCGATTGTAAGAAAGGGGCAGAGTTTAAGTCAACTAAATGATTGGAGAAGTCCGGCATGTGTTATCAGAGAGAAGACTGTCACTTCACTGGAAGATCAAGCTATTACTTCAAATTACGAGGTAAAAAAAAAATGCATAGATAAATTGATCAATAACATGAATTTACAGAAACTATATAGGGGAATTTTAATTTCATGCTGACTTTAACGTTGAAACTGAATAGTTGATTCTGCTGATACCTAAAAACTACTATGCTTATCTGTTCTCTCACTTGTCATGTTTCTTTAATATTTTTTAAATTAAAAATGTTAGTGCAACAAACAATTCTATTAGTAACCGGTTACTTAAATTCCATGAAAAATGCAATGTTTACTTCATTGAATAATACTTGAAGATCACATTTTCAACAACACTTCTGATTTGAAAATCTAGTGATGACAGCAAAAGTTATCTGGCACTGGTATCGACTACTGAAATTGACAAACGGAAGAAAACAATCTTTTGCTTTAGAACTTTTAAAGCCATACCGTTTTCAAATTTGCATCAGGTGATTTTCATTACAGAAAAGTATGCTTATTGGAAAACAAGCCCTATGGCTTACTAAGGGCTGGCCAATGACTGGCAGTTTGCTTTGGTAAGATGATCAGATAATTGTGCTTGAGTAAGGGAAAAACAGAGAGAGAGAGGAAGAGGAAGAGGAGAAGAGAGAGTGCGAGCACACTGTAGTGTCAGCTCATCAACACGACGTGACCAGGTGACCTCACCTCCAAATTAAGCCCCATCACAGAGTAATGTGGGAGAGTACAGTCGGTGTGTGGAGCTCAGCAAAGCGCATTCGCTGCTGCAGAATATCCTGTACCTCCACAATCAATTCTTGTTCCTCAGCCAGTTGTTTTTCTATTGAAGCATGTTAAAGGTCAGCCTGGTAATTGATACCAAAGGAGGGCCCAAATGTCTGAGTCTCTCTAGTCATCACACCCCCACCACTACTACCGCTGCCTGGGTAATCTGGCAATCCCCACACTTACACTTCCTACTAATGAAACCTCATGTCACCTCATAATGCTGTCTAGAGCCTTCGATTGAATCTTTCTACAAGCTCACAGGTTTTCAAGAGAAACCTGTAAACAACAGTAATGCTGCACTACTACCGAGATACTTGGATGAATCAACTGAAAAATGCTTCAAGTTTAGACAGTAGTAAATAATCAGAATGGGAACATTTAGAGTGAACTGGATGTCTCTGTGCTTCAAGAAATGAGAAAACAGGATCAGAGGAACATGTTATGACATCTGATGAAGTGTGCGGACAGACTTCTTCTCCCCGGCAGCATGTATCGCAGTCACACAAGTGCTGTACCGACTCATTGGCACAGTCCCCCAGTCTCCTGTCAAGGCTTCATAAAACATGATACACCAGAATGCATTCAGTCGGGATGAGTCCACAGTGACTGCCATTCATGAATTAAGAATGACTGAGGGGGAAAAAAACAACACCACAAAATTCACCTAGCATAATCTCAATAGCAAATTGTTAATCTGAATTTGCTACAGCATTATGAAGCAAAATGAATCCAGTCTCTGTCAAAGCATCCTCCAGTGTGCTTTTCTGTAGGCAAATTAGGGGTATTTACTGCTGCAGGTCAGAGAATAAAAAAGGAAGTAAGCTTGTGTTCTGTCGTTTAATGTACATAAGCTTTGGCTGTAATAAAAACAGTAGTGTTATAATGATTTTACAGCACAGCAGCTGCCAAGTGTCCTGCACCGTGCCCACAGAAAAGCCAGGCACATCTCTCACTGACACACTTCATTTGACTTCTCTTTTAGCTTCTTGTTACAGCATTCAATCATGATATTAGGCCATTCAGTGGGTTTCAATCATGAAACCTGAGCAGAACAAACTCAAAGTTGTTCATAAAATTCCATGCAACCGTTTACACACAAAATGGTTTAAAAAACTATTTATACAAATTTGCCATACTTGTTTAATGGCGCACACCTTTTGACTGATATTGCGAGTACAAATAAAATGTGATTAATTTGGGGTAAATATTTATTTTGCGTCTGGCAGAGCCTGTAGCTGCTGTGAGGGTCTGCGGGTTGACCCGCATCCTCCTTTCTTTATGCTGTGGATCTCTGGAGAGCACAGGATGTGGAAGTTTAGCTCAGAGTTAACTTCACTGCTCCAATCAGCTCTGTAATGGGGGACATCATGTCCAAGTCAGTACACAAAGAGCACAAGAAGCCACAAGCACACACACAAAAGCGCTGAGCTAAAAATACCCCAACTATAGAGGAAATGCAACCAAAACAGGGTAGAGCAGAATTACCCTGCAGGTCCTCTGACACGACACATTCAGGCTGCCACACATTTCACTTCTTTTCCGAGCAGTTGTTTATGTCTGATTAACAGCATTCCTGATGACTCACCTAGTGACGAGAGAAACAGTGGGTAGATCACATGACCACTGTATCAACCCAAGAGCTCAGACTCAGAAAGAGGGAACTGATGATCTGCCAGCGGGACTAGTCAGGAAAGAATGCCAAATCGTCTGTTACCAGTAAATGCTCACTTATTCGCCGCTCCAGGGAAACACTCAGGGCCTCCCTAAAAATCAAGTTAGAACTCATGTAGACGAATACACGTCACACAAAGTTTACCTAATTACACTACACTTGTACAATTATTTTAAAATGCTGTTCTTTTGAACTTTCTATTCACCAGAGAGTCCTGAAGAAAATTTATCACAGCAAATTAGCTCAATAGAATGATTTCTGAAGGATCACGTGACACTGAAGACAGGAGTAATGATGATGAAAATTCAGCTTTACCATCACAGGAACAAATGACATTTGTCAACACACACAAACACACACACACACACACATATATATATACACATATATATGAAGCGTTCAGATGCAAAAGAGTTCAGATGCAAAAGCCTCTAAGTACGTCTGATGTTTTTCTTTAAAATTACCATTTCTTTCTGGCTACTATGTATAGGTTTCTATGCAAGTACTGGTACTTCTGAATGGGTTGGGGCTGGGATTTTGCGCATTTGAAGGGAAAGTACTTGATGAACATATACTATGTGTGGAGAGCATTCACTCAGTATTGTTATCTAATTTTTGACCAAGATGGCTTTTAGAGGCTTTTACATTGGAACTTTTCATATATATATATTTATTAACAAAATATTTTAGTTTGTCTTTTATATTTTTTTCATTCGATCAGATAAGATTTTAAGCTGTCATATGGTCAAGTTACAACGTGCCCCTCAGATGTTACAATGTGTTCCACCTACGGGGCATGTTGTCACATTTCACTTCCATTTTTTGAGGGTAAATAAAGAAAAACGTCTACACTGGAAGTATGAAACAAAGCGACATATTTGTACTAGACAAGTGTAAAATTACTGTGGGTAAAAATATATATATATTCTGAACCCCATGTGGATTTACACAAACTGAGAATGTCAAAAAGTGTTACTTTGTGCCCCGCTCTCCCCTACCTCTATAAATAAATTCAATATAAATTCACGGCTCATGCACTTTAATGCCCTTTGAAAGTAACGTGTACGTTCCCTTGGAGCTGGAATCATGGCGGAATTTCATGTGAAGTCCACTTCGCAGGGCACTTACAGTCGAATAAGACAACGCGTGAATGCTGCCTGAACAAGAAACCTCCTTACTGAAGTGAAAGTGTTGACTGGTGTCACTATCTCGCGAACGCGCCGGCGGATCTCCACCAAATTCGGCGGATCCCTTCAGCTCGAGGAGCCCTCTCGAACGCCACCCTCCGCGCGTCGGTATCCCACCGGGATCGCTAGAACGATATATCGGTCGGGCTCTAGTATTTACACAGCTATCAAACTTTAGTCGGGCAACCCTTAGCCTTAATGACAGCCTGTAGTCTCCTGGGCATGCTGTCATCCAGCTTCATGCAAACCTGAACTTCAATTTTTTCCCTAGACTCTGTCTGAATAATTTTTGGTCCCAAATTTGTAGCAGTTTTACTGGTAGTCCACTGTATGAAGAATTTGAGTATAATTTGTCACAGTTTACTTTATTTTGCTCCCCTCACTTGAATGAACTATAGTGTCCTGCACCCACTAGTAAAAAAATATAAAATTATATCTGGTAATTTTTGGTTTAACTGTATATCGTTTGGTTATTTTCACACTTAATTATGCCCATTAAAATGTATTTTACAAGTTTTTGTCACTTTCACCATTTATTTTTTTGCTCTATGGTACATCTTTAATTTAATAGCATTAGAGCTGCTCCATTGCAGCGGCTTAGTACTGTAATCACGCGCTTTGCTGTAATAATGCAGGGAACCACTCGTTATAAATCTCCTAACTGTGATATTTTCAGAAATAGAAGTCGTGTTTGTTTTTTTTTTCATCTGAAACGTGCTGCGATTTATATTCGAAAGCCACTCATATAATGCAGAAACACTCAAGCAAGCAAAACACGCGCAACGCGTGCACGTATTTGTACTGGCGCAGAATGAGAGGGAAAAGTAGTACAGACTAGCGCATTTCACACAGGCTGCTAGATTCACTTTCACCAGAAAGTTGTGTATGCCTAAAGTTGAAAATAAATGGTTTATAGTGAATGCCCCTATAAATGGTCTTATTTTTACGATTTAGTTTTAATCCAAATGATGCGTGTGCTAAGTGAGTGAACATCAAAGATCATACAACAGAAGTGCGCGCTCTCTCTCTCCCTACCGTTAAGTAACTTGTGCATCGTTTTACTTGCTTGTTTTTGACATATCTGACAGAACTACAAACTTTCCAGTGATGTCTGTGAGAAAGGTATATTCACTCGACAAGCTCGCGCATCTGCGATGCCGCCGCGCACTCAATCCACTCTGCATGCTTTGCTTATCAGCTCGCGCACATCAGCTATACAGGCATTAATACTGAATGTTTAACATTATATATTCATTGCATACATATACTTCGTAGACATCCTTAATCTCTAATAACTCCATTCTGCTGTCTGTTGTTCTGTTGTCTGTTTCTTTGTCTGAATATGGCACTTATCACATGCTGTGTGGTATCGGCATTTGGTATCAGGGCATTTTAAGAGTACGAGTACAGGAGCTCGGTATCGGTGCATCCCTAATTTAGACAAAAAATAAGTTATCAATCACAAATTTTTGACCAGCAGTGTATACTCCAACGCTATAAATCACATTCTATAGCATGCTGTTCATTACCACAGACAACAATTTTGATC